ATTATTCAAAAACATTGGGTCATAAACATTGACAGTAAAAGTTGTTGCTCTTGTCAATCAACACCTTTATTACTAGGTGAATAAGTAACAGTTTGGTGCTTACTCAATATATTATCATCCTACGAATTTTCGTTAGGTTGTTCCTCAGCAGTAACTAAAGCTAGGTCCTCTGAATTCCGAGCAGTAGAAGTATTCGTGTCTGCTCTAACAAACCGTCTATGCTCCTTTTGAGGACTCAGTCAACTCACATGCCTGTTTTTATTCTCATTACCAGATGGATACTAGCAATCTTACTAATTACTACTCCCTCTGTCCCATAATATAAGAGTGTTTTCGACAGTATGTCGAAAACACTCTTATATTATGGACGGAGGGAGTAGCACACAAACATATGATAGTACTCCCTTTGTTTTTTTTTAGTCTGCATATAAGGTTTGATCAAAGTCAAACTTTGCATAGTTTGACTAACTTTATATTAAAAAATATCAACATTCATAATATGAAATCAACATTTTCAGATGCACCACAAATGTATTTTTATATTATATACGTTTAAGTATTGTAGATGTTCATATTTTTTAATATAAATTTGATCAAACTTTGTGTAGTTTGACTTTGACCAAGACTTATACACGGAGTAAAAAGAAACGGAGGGAGTACAAGAAATTAAAAACACTATGATTAAATAAAAAAATGCTAAGAAAGGTATGGAGCAAGGTACTTGATGGCTACAAAATTAAAAATTGCAAAATATTGCTGATGCTTACCAGTCACGAAGAGTTTTCTTCTTTTCTAATCCCAGGCAAAACAAGAAATCAGGGTTTGAGAATGAGATATGTATGATATTGACCTTCACGAATGAATGAACGATCTGGCGATACTATCAAAAGAGAGGATTTGCGTTGAAGAAATGGTTGATGATAATTTGGGAACTCGCAATACCTTCTTCCAACGCGCCCTGCAGCCGGAAACCTTAATTAGACGGCCTCCTACATATCTCTGGGGCGTTGTCAACCTTGGCAAGCCTGAGTCTCGGGCTGATTTGTTGCCAATGGGGAAGACATGGAATAAAGGCGAGAAGATTGCGCGTGCGACAAGCCGCGAAGTAATCGCTGTAACCTTTTTTCCCTTTCCTAAGAATCGATCGATCGACCTGTTACATGGCTGAACATTACGCACGCACAAGGAAACAGGTCATCAGGGGGCCCCTTCGTACGCGGGGGCCTGGGGCGGCCGCCCCCTCTACCCCCCACCCCCCAGGACCGGAATATAAAGCCGGTGAGACCCGTCCTGATGGATGGCATTCACAAATCACAAAGTATCTAATCCCCCTCCCCCCATTTTCAGGTGGGGATGGGGTAAATGCTTTGTGATTTTATGAATACCACGTGTCATCTATCAGGATGGGTCTCACCTGCTAATCCGTGAGACCTGGTCTCATAGAATTCTTTTCCCTCAGAACCGGTCCTGAGTAGCGTGTACGTATATGTCATGCATATGCAGATATGCCCTTATCTGCATCATATCATTGCTCTTTTTCTTTTGTTGCAATCAACATCATGCCTTTGTTGTACTCAAACAAGGTACTGGAAATTTAGAACGATCTTTTAATTTATGTTTGATCCTTTTGTTGGATCCTTTTGATCTACACTCTTCATCTGCGGCGGTTGCTGTTCTGGTGCGTTGGTTCCATGGGGCCTTAGCACGACGACTTTTCGACTGTCTACTACAATAATGTTTACCCGGCTCTGTCGAGGGAGGGGCGATGACAGCGGTGCGCCTTCGGCTCGCTTCAGTGCTTGTAGTCATCGCTAGGTGGTCTACGATTCTGGATGTAATTTTTATTATTTTTAGTGTCCGTTGTACTACCATGATTGAAGATGAATAGATTGAAAGTTTTTCCGCAACAAAAAAAAAGAGGAGGGAACAAGTTTTTAAAAGACAAACTATCATTTAGGCCATCAAATTGCTATTTTCTGCGCGGGCAAGAAATATGTTATTGCTCGCGTATCATGACCGTAACACGGTTTTGCACGCCAGGTCATATTTTGCGTGGTAGGGATTTGACTTTTTCCTGGGCTTGTTTTTGAACACAGTAGAGTACTTGTCTTGTTGATGAACGCAAGCAATGTTCTATCCAAGCACAAGCTACCTTATTCAATACTAAGTAGTTATGCATGAATTTCCGGAGCATTTACCTGCATGGACGAGTGACGGGACACGGTCAAAATGCACGTTCTTGGCCTCTTCGTCCATGGTAACTCAAGTACGTACTAGCTCGGAAAGTGAGAGGAAATTATGCGCGGCGCTGGAAGCGGAACATGGACAGAGACACCTGAACAGACCAGCGCCCGTGCTAATCGTAAACTTGAGACAGAGACATTCACTCACTAGATTGCCATCACTAAACACGTCCAGGTAACATCCGCCAAAGGGACAGGTTAGAGAGCTACGCCTACACTGGTAGTACTTCTCTACACATGAGCTACAGTGCTACACTAGTTATAGTACAAAATCTAACAGTCAGAAATCACGGAGGCATCGCTGCGTCATAAAAGGCTTGATCAAGATGCAGATTCATCGGGGGTCGGCGATTGCGCATCGGGCTTCAACGAAACTGAGATTTGGTTGAGTTTTCTATTTTTTTTCGACATAACAAGAGCAAAATTCAAGTCGTCGACCTTCTGGTGGAAGAGCTTCTGCGGATTCTTCATCACCATTATATTCGCTTTCTCTGAACCTTTCAGCACGACATGGGCGATGCTGAACGAATCCCCTTTCTCCAGCGCGAATTGCCATTCATTGGGTGTGAGTGGAACCAGTCCTTGTTCGAAGTCACGGTCGCCTTCACCTCCACATACTCTGCGGCGCCACCCTTAGGCGTGATGACAATGTCATAGGGAAGCCCAGATTCCTTCTCTTCATTCACCCACTTCCCATTGCTAGGTCCCGTGCAGTCCACCGAGCGAGCATGACTCTCGTGACCGCGGTCGTCCCCGCGTGAGCGCGCGGACGCCGCCGGCCGGATCTCCATGCTCCGGCCACCCCCGCGTCTGCCGCTCCCAGATCCGGCCTCCACGTCGTCTGCTCCCCCCTTCCCTCCTGCCAGGAATCAGGTGTGGGAGCTGTGCCCCGGCGACCCCGCACCGTCTCTCCCGTCTTCACCGGCAGCTCCCCATCGGCCACCCTCAACGCTGGTCCACGCCCCAGCGAGCGCGCTGTCGCCGCCTTCTGCTGAGATGTCTGCTGGCTCCGCACCGTGCGTCGTCCCGCAGCCAACCCCGTCTGTTGCTCGATCCCATCTGGATCGGGCCCCGCCGGCGCTGGGCTGCTCCGTCCATGCTGTTGGCGGGTCAGGGAAGGTGCCCGTGGTGTCTCCGAGCAAGTTGGTTGCCCCTGTGCGTGCGCCCGTGCGGCTGCCCGTGCGGGCCTCTGCTGCGTCGATCTGTGTCGTGGAGGGCCCGGTGGGGATTTGCTCTCCCGTCGCCGCGCCACCGCATCTCGGCTCGGGTCGGCCTGAGCCCGAGTCATGGACCTCTCTCGCCGCTGACGGCGACGACGACGATGAAGAGGAGCTGGCCCCTATGACACCGCCTGCTGCCAAGGCCTCGGCCCCGGCCGCTGCTCTGCCGGACGTGGTGGTGAAGGCGAGCAAGGGATGGCAGGAGGTGTTGCCCCGGCGTGGTCCGCGTCGCCCGACGTCGCTAGCCCCTGCAATGGCTCCCCGTCCAATCCCTGCTTGGCTGTACGGTAGATGTTGCAGATGCTTCGCTCCTGGGCATCGTGCGGCCGACTGCAGAGATCTGCTTTGGTGCTCCCGTTGCTTGGAGAACGGTCACCGTGCGCGCGGATGCCGCAATCCTTGGCGTCCTCCAAGTTCTTTGGCATGCCTTGCCATGCCGCCAGTCCTCGGTTCCATGCGCCATCCTGCTCTAGCTTCATGTAAGGGTGCAATGAAATCCGTGCTCCCCTCCAAGGCGCTTCACCATGGGTCTTGAGCGTCTGTCGTCTCTGCTACCGTTGGCTCAGCAACCCCACCCGATATGATGTTGCGGTCCTCTCTGGCCGATCAGACAACATTGTTGCAGAGTTGTCTGGCACGGTTTCAGAGCTTTCTTGAGCGGGCGGAGGCTGCTCTTAGCAGGCTCTCCCTTGCACCGGCTAGGTCATAGACCACTCCGATGTCATGCCCCTCTGGCGTGGAAGATGTTGGCTCTATGGAGGAAGGGAGACAAGAGTTATATGGATGTTTCTCCCCTCGTGTTGAGAACGGTTCATCGTCACTCTCGGGCAAGTCCATTGTCGTGCTTGATGCTCCGGTGTTGCAGGTCATGCCCGAGCTACGAGAGCTATGTCTTAGCCCTGGTTCGCCTCTCTCTGTAGAGCATTTGGAGGTGGTCTCATCGACGGCCTCGTGTGAGGGGCATGTGTTGCCAAAGTCATGTGAGCAACTGGAGGTGCCTAAGTCCATTGCATTGGCGGTTCATGTGGTCGATGAGGTTGCGTCGGTGATTCCTTTGGTTGAGGTTGTTGATGCGGTCAGTGTGTTGATGCCTGCTCCTGGCGGCGTCTTGGTTGATGACAACGAAACTAAAAAATTCAATGAGTTTTATGATTTTCTTGACAAATGGGTGGCTCATCAGCCGGTATCCAGCAAGACAAGTGACCCTCCAAAGAAGAAGTCAACTAAGGAGAAACCAAAGAAGAAGAAAAACAAGAAGTGTGGCGCCATCCGAAAGGCGTCTGTGGTTCCATGATGTAGGGTGGTCATTTTTCATTGGTGTGCTCACTAGGAGTTTCATTGTGTTCTACAAGTATTGAGGGTTGCGGTTGTTGCTTGTTTAGAGGGCCGCTTGATGTGTTTCGTATTTTGCGAGTAGTCTGTATTTGGGAGTCTGTATCGATTTTCACCCGGTTTTCCATAAATTAACCGGGCAATTCTCTTCTTCTTAATTAATCGATGAGGCAAATATTTTTGCCACCGTTTCGAAAAAACATTGCTAGGTCCCAGCTGCCCGGCAAGGTGTTGGTGTACCAGCTTCACCAAGCCTGCCGGTTCTTAACCGCTCATCTGGCTTGTGAACTGTGGCATTACCAGGCGTGCCAGCTCCTAACTTGCTTCCATCTTCTGCAACATCAGCGAGTTTCTCATCAACATCGGTTAGCTCAGTTTCATCAATCAGACTTGGTGAGCTTCCTGCTTCCAAGTCCAAACAAGCAGGCTCATCATCAACTTCAACCGTACTCTGTACGCCTAGCATATGTTCTGTTGTTGAATTCTCTTTCACGACATGATCCCCTTCAACCTTGATGGGAACTGAAGTATCTTCCATGGGTCCACACACGACAGGCTTGCTAAGCTCTGATGAAGATGCAGTATCATTCACCTTTATCTCTTCCTGGCTTATGTAAGAGGTTTCAAGATCAGGTGCTGTTTCAGGATTATTCGGTGGGTGGCTTTCAATGATTCCTGGGTTCTTGTTACGCTTGAGGGGGCGTCTGGGTTCATCCGGAGGTTGGAGTTCAGCTGTTGGGGAACTAAATATTTCCTCGGCGACAAACGATGAAGAAAAGGACCAAGCAGGTTCCTGTTCAGGTAACGGAGGCACCTTCTGATTATTGACAATAAAAAACTCAATTTGTTCCACTGCGGAGCCAGATTCTGACATGGTTTTGACCATGTGAAGAAAATTTGCGAAGTGTAGATCAACAGATCCATCAAAGAAAAGTTTAGAAATTTCCAGAAGAATCGAATGTGAATCAGCTTCTTGAGTAGCATATAAAATATTTCCCTGGAAATGAGTAACAAATAAAATCAATTTCAAAACCGATAATGTTACTTAGCGAAAATCTGAAAGTTTCGATGCAACGCGTCGAGCATGTCCATAGATAACAGTAAGGTCGACATCAAATGTTATTGCTAATAAATGCAACGTAAGATCATGGCAAGATAATTTATATCGCTATTTTCCAGCTGTACAATATATTAGGGGCTGAGAATATATCTAAAATTTTCAGGAGAGTGGTTTTTCTACACCCCAGCTTGGTGTTTTCAGGTGTCCTGTGAGATCTTTAAGAAATATTATCCTACCAGCATGCATAAAAGATGGGATAAATGATGACGGTGAGTCGGTACTAACTATAATAAACACTGAAAGAAAGTCAGATACTAACCTGTAAAAGACAAGAGCATTCAAATCTTCCCTCACAAGAACTATCACGTCCTTTCAGCATATACTTGTAGGATAACTTCTCAACAACAATAACTTCAAGACTGCTAAGCTTCGTGGCCTCATTTTGCTGAAATTTATTGTAAGTATCTCCATGCATCTTGTAGATGTAACGTTGCATATATGGTAAAAGCCAATTAAGTAAACTAGCCTTTCCTCTGTTGTTCCCTGTACCAGAATGCATTGGTTCTCGGTACACAACCTGTGTGAAGGTGGCAATTGTGGATGAGAATCATACTCCCTCCGTTCGGAATTACTTGTCGCGAAAATGGATGTATCTAGACTTATTAGGAGTACAACAAATGGTTGATCTAAAAATCATCCAACAAATGGACACTAGCTATCACAAATTGACTTGAATACATATTGAACATATGCTCCTACTTCCTTCTGATAAGCTCAACATTTGAAGGGTCATTGAAGTAAATATGCATGTGTAACTGCGCAACTGGCAACACAACGAGGACCATATACCTAATATGGTAATATTCTGTAATTTATTGGAAAAATCTAAACTCGTGAGATTAAATGATGAATGAGGCTTATGGTTTTCTATCATCATTACTCAACACATTGTATTAGTCGGTCACAAACAGATTTAATAAAACTCAAACAAGATTAAGATCGCTGGGTTCAGGCAAAAGAATGAGCATATATTGTGCAAACTCACACTGAAGTCTCAGTAAGATTTTGGGAGTAAAATACTAAATGTAAAGGAAAATTCAGCAGGAGAGTTAGATTTTTTGCAACTCCATTTACTTCCGAATTCTAAAAAGATAGAAAATAAATTTGGTTCAACTTAAGGCACACAAAATTATTTGAATTTTTTGCTAGGATACTTAGTATTCCTTCTTCACAATTTTATACTAAACGTTGAACTTCACAATATCCTGATTTTGCACTCTGTATGGGAACTCAACTAAAATACCAGAAAAAGGAAATATGCAATACAATATACAAGCAAGAATGCCACTTATCAGAATATCGATTCGGTCATGTGATACGATCTAAACAGTTTGGACTGATTCTAAGATTCTAGTCAATAGAATCTATGATTTACGATTGTGACAGCTATGATCATATGATTTGAGATCTTATGCATAGAGTTCCGATCCAATTCATAATCTACGATTTCGACAACCTTGTACAAGATTTTTATTACCTTAGAAAGTGCCGGAATACCTATAATGTTCATCAATGCAGCAACCCTCCCATCGAGTTTTTGTTTGTCATCAAGAGAAAGTTCACCAAATTGTATAAATTCGACCTCACGAGTGTTCTGAAATTGCTGCTTCAGTTCATCATCATCTGCCCAGCAAACAAGACCAAAAGATGGATGGAGGGACACCCATCTGTAACCCAGGGTTGGCAATACCATTGTTTCCAACTTCTGAAGAGATTCTTTCAAGAACAAGATATCGTCCATCTTATAACTTCCAGAATGGAGATCATTAACCCATCTCACAAATACACGAAACACCTATATAGAGTGCCAAAGTGGATTTAATAATGTAGACGAAATCGTCTAGCAGAAAGCCCTAAGCTACCATAAATTGTAAATTTTTTGGTCCCCGAGGGAGTAGAATCATATTAAGGCTGAAACTGCCAACCCTACACTATGCAGGTTTGGTATTTCGTGCATGAAAGACAACTTACATGATTGGCTACTTGTGAAGGCAATGCAACACTTGATAGCCGGAGCAGTATCTCAAGGTACTCAGATGTCGTTGGTATCTTTGGTACACCACACGTCTCAGTAAAGAAATCATGGAGGCTTGGATAAGCCACAGACAACATCTTTCTCAGAAACATATTCCCCTTCATTAAAATGGATGCATATATCTTTTCACAACAGCCTGTTGGGTCATGCCAATACAAATCATTTGAAGACATAAATCTCCCGGTTACAGAATTAGTTGATGGTGAACCATGCAGTGGTGTAAATATAGAGCAGCGTGGTAGGAAATCGCGTTTAATGTTGATCTCTCCACTAGCGGCACCTTCTGACATGAAGGTGTAGAATTTGCACATATGGTCCATTCTGAAGAAAATGCAGGTAAAGAATTGCATGATTATATGGAGCTATGGAGAAATAGAAACAAAATATATATCAAGTATGTACTCCGTCAGTCCTAAAATATAATACGTGTTTAACTTTTCAGAGTATATGCCATAAAAGTATCTTATAAGAAAAATGCAACAATATTGTTCTTACATACCCGATTCATATACTTTCACAAATATTAGTGGTCAAAATTTCAAAGTGTTGACAGCGCACATTATAATGTGCATTTATATCTTGGAAAATGGAGTGCCATGTAATGTTGTTGGATAGCTGCAAATATGTAAGAATATAATTGTCCTTATACAGTTTAATCCACATTCTAAACTTGCATAGCACATAATATTTAATGTTAACTTTTGTGACATAATATTTATCTAATGTTACAGCTGAAAATGGAGTGCCATGTAGCGCACATTACAATGTGCATTCTAAACTTGAACAATGGCGAATAGTTTTGAAATGTCAAGATAACTAGATAAGTAATATCTGGTGTTTGACAAAAATAGGCAAAATCTGATGGTCAAGCAAAAAATAAGTAATATCTGGAAATGTCACCGCATGTTCTAATTTATAGATAACATAACTTACCTTGGTGTGAGACAATACATTATTAGAAATTTAATGAAATAAATCACTCCAAAATAAACCTCATCCCACCTTATCCTTGGTGTGAGACAAGATAAAAGTTACTCCCTCCGTCCCAAAATGTAAGACGTTTTTTTGACACAGTGTCAAAAAAACGTCTTACATTTCGGGGCGGAGGGAGTGGTACATTATTAGTAACTACTAACTAGTAGTAACATTTTTCTGTTGTCCAAACAGTAGATGGAGACACCCCATACCTTGCACTAAAATTAGCTTGTGATGCTATCCAGTGATTGAGGATCAATAAAGCGTCACTGTGGGATACTGTTGTCTTGAATCCAATATCCTTCCTAAGTAATGTGCTTGATAACTATTCCACAGGAACAAGGTAAGACATTATGATGAAAACACAATATAGTTTGGCAAGGATAAATGACTACCAAGTACTAACCAGTGGTTTAGCATATGGGGCGACGCTGCCAAGAAGAGAGCGCACATTTTTAAAATCACAGAATAGATCTCTTGCGTAATGAAGGTCCTTATCCATACTCGATGCTATCCACTTGAAGTTTCGCAGACACTTCATAAAGGAAGAGTCAACTTTTCTCTTTTCACCACAATCTGTTGCATTTGTGAGACTCCTAGATTTTGTACTATAATAATCATTCCAGTATTTGTCTAGAACCTTCAGAAGATATATACAATTTTCTCGCAAATTCTTTGAGGTGAGTGTTGATAACATAGTCATCAATTCTGGTGACTCCCAGTCATACACAATATAAGGTGTTCCAGGTATACCACCTTGGAAGGGAGTACCATTTTGACAGTCATCAGCCTCAAATACATTCTTCTCAACTTCCATTACCTGAACAAAATCAGTCACACCTAACTGCTCGAAAAATTGCCTCCAACTTTGCAATTTGAATTGCAATGAAGCAGAGCTATCATGTGTCAAATAACAAGTGTCAAGTTCAATCCATGCCATATCTACATTCTGAAGGAGCTTGCCTATGTCCACTGAATTTCCATAATGTTTACTCTAGTGAATGGGTACATCAGCTGGGCACTTATAGCCACTGTTCGTAAGTAAGACAGGCATCTTTCGTAATTCTGAGACAATCTCTTCTTTCTCAGGGTTACAGCTTATACAGGGGGGCCGAAGATGTAGCATGATAAAACTCATATATTCTGTCATCATTTTCTCTTCTGGATTAGCATCTGTAGCATTAGGCAATGACACCAGGATGTGATTTTTTATAATGTCATCTCCAGACAACTTCAGCACACCAACTTTCAATAAAATATCTATAAGGTCACTTGTTCTCGTCTCTTCGACAATGTAACTATTTTTGCAGGACATGGGGAGGATGTGTGGGCTCACAATGCGAAGGCTGCTGTACAGAACTGGGAAGCTCTGTATGCTGATTTTGGATCCGGGCGGAGAGTCGAGAAGATCACAATTCAACCATATTGGGCCATCTGCTATACAGCTAAATGAACCATCTGAAAGTGGGATGCATTTCATTTTCCTGAGAGAACATAAAGTATCACTTTCAAAATTTGTTCTCAAGGGAAGATCTCGAGAAGAATGAGACAGCAACGCCGAATGAAGTGTAACAAACCAAGCACATAGCCATTCCAGTCCCAGTGACTCAATGCAACCATCAGTTTGGCAAATAGATGACATAATATCAGTCAAAAATTTCGGTCCATACTCATGTATACCTAAGGCCATTGATAATGTATCAGATACAGTAACATCTTTTGATAAATATCCAAGGTGAAGATGTTCACGGAGTATGGTATCAGGCAATAGCGTTCTAGCCTGTTCATCCCAACCCCTTAGTGTGTTGCATGGGTGGACCCACTGCAAACTGGAGCCCTCCAAAACCAAGCAGCGGGTAAGGCGCAACTTGGAAAGGATCAAATGAGGGAGCTGAGAAAAGAACCCATGAACTTCTCCCGGTAGAGGCACAAAACTCATCAAGGCCGTAACAGCTTTTCCAGAGCACTTTCGGAAGCAAGGTAGAGCACAAAAAGATTCTTGAGTACTAACAAATAAAGATGGGAATTCAGACAGCAACCATTGGTCCCATGCGCTATCTGCATCCACTTCTTCTCTAGAAGAAGGCAAAACAAAATCTCCTTGAAGAATGAATTTAAGACCGTAGTTCCTTAGAGGAAGGAAAGCAAAGACAGGTTGTTGCTTCAAATAAGGTTCATACTCTCCATCTTCTGTCTCCTGCAAAGAAAATGCCATAGCTATCTCTGTACTACAGACATCATGACGAACAAGCGAGCTCTGTAATTTCTTAGTAACTACCAACGAGCTCACTGTCTCATTCCCACGTGAAATTTTCACAATGCCATCAGCAAGAGATTTTCTTCTCATTACTAGAAATTTCTCACTGAGCATATTTTTGAATTTGATGCATTTTAGCCTATGAAGGAACAAGAGCAGAGATGGGTCAAGATCTGAAAACATGGACACGACGGAGCACATACCAGTGCCCTCCCTGAAGTTTGACCTGAAAGGGAGCAAAATACAAGTTTTCCAGGAGGAGCATGCATCGTAGCTATCTTCAGGAGATAATATTCTACTCAAAGGGTTAGTATCAAAAGGTGGAATTGCAGTCGGCAAGATAAAACCAATCTGGCCTTCTGTAATGTCGAATTTCACATGAAACCCATTTGAATGGATCTCTGGAGCATCAGTTACCTGCAAAAGAATGAATATGTATTTGTCAAAATTAGGATAATATGAAACTCAAAGCAGAACACAAAGTCATAAAAGATGGAAAAGGAAAGGTACACATACAGTTAAACTGACTGATGAAACAAGAGATATATGCACTTAAGATGGTAGCCATATATATAATTCAATTGAAAAATAATTCTATTTACACCTACCCGAAATACTGATTTGAATCCAATGCCTTTATTTCCAATATACCCCATGTTTGACCCTTTCTTTGTAGAATTACCAATGTCACACAACGCTCTAATGTTATCAGCAGAAAAGCATGTCTCGTTATTAAGAACAGCAATTCCATCATCCTGAAGAACAAACGCTAATGTTGGTTCGACATCCTTGAGATAAGTGTTGTCATCAGCATTCTGTATCTGAAATATAGAAGAAACCAAATCAATATCTGCAGATACACACCACTCCCAAGCACACAGACGAAATAAAATAAGAGGAATGAATGGGATTAAAAGCATACTAGCTCAAGGATTATGTGAGAGTCCTGGGAATATAGCTCTTGTGAGAGACAATGAAGGGCTCTGCCAAGTCGAGCATGCTGCTTTTTCAGCAAGAAGAAGAAGACGTAATCTTTCTTACACAAGTGTTCTCAGGATTTCCTTGAATACGACCAATATAGTGAGAAGAAGAGCTACGCTGTTCAGCAATTTGTGTATGCACTTCCTCGTACATATCCCCCCCCTTCAGAACCAGTGCTGATCAAATCGATGTTGCTATTCATTATAGCATCTATTGCTCGTTGTGCATAACACTTCAGTAACGAAATTGGAGCATTGCTAGAACCATTGTAAACGTGTAGCAAGGATAGCAGCTTCACTGCCACTTGAAACGGTGATTGCTGAATGACAGCTTCTAGAAAATGGTCAACAGTGGCTGATGGATCAGGCTAGCTGAACTGAACACATCATCATCTGACCTCTGCTTTCAGTGATTTTAATGCACTGAGATGCAAATATGGATCTATGAGTTATGATGGAACAAGTAGCATAATCATAGGGTGATGATTCCTCGAGATCCTAGTTATTATCTCAACGAAACATGGATTCACCATTTCAATATGTAAACTTATAAAACATACCTTGTCAACTGGATGTTGAAGGCACGGCTCCCTCCAGGTTGCTATAAACTCCTGCAGCTCATCCAAGCTCAGTGTGTATGGTTCTTCATCATGTTTTTGCTTCTTCTTCTTCTTCTTCTTCTTCTTCTTCGGGGGAAGCTTAGACCAAGAGTCCGGGCAATCCCGCAGCTTATGAAAGCTGAAAAGAGATGGTTTTTCCTCATGTTTTTGCTTCTTGATGGGCCGTTCTACCACCCGAAACCAAGAGTCCGGCCAATCGTGGTCGGACATTCCATCATCATCTGAATCAACGCGCATACGAAAGCCCGGGGCCTTCTCGACAGCAATTTGTCCGCCTTGAGTTCCGCAGCCGGCCACGAAACCAAAAGGTGCGGCCGCCGCAGCGGCAACACCACCAGGGGAGCCGGCTTGCTGGCGGAAGCTGGGGCCACGGCCACCGAATCCGCTCCCATCACCAAACACGATCTGGCCGGCATTATCCCTGCCGCTGCCGAAACCAGCGGTTCCACCGCCTAAGCCGACACCGCGGCGGCCGCCGTTTCCTTGTCCAGCGCCGAAAGTCCACGCCATCCCTGCATGCAGAAGGAATCCTCACAGACGATCTAGATTGGGTGGGGATTCGAGAGGGATTGGGGAGAGGACGAGGGAGGAAAGGGGATGCGATAGAGAGGTGGGATTAAGAGTCTTAATTCTTCGGCGATAGTCTCTGGGTTCAGTTACGCAGGGGTTTTTCCTTACAAATTTAAAAACATTATAACTGGGCACTTTTCCAACCCTCTCAGGCTACTATGTACGTTCACGCCCGTCCGATCGGCACTTTTGAAAAATTTCAGCCATTGGATTGGCTCTTAACCGCACATCCGACCGTTTCGTTCGATAATAAACGGGCACTAACCTGGGCTACATGTCTTCGAGGGCCGCTATTCCAGTAAAAAAATCGAAGGTATGGGGTTAATTGGGTCGTCAACCGCACGAAGCCCATGCCGTGTATCAGCCTCGCTCGACCATCTCCTTCCTTGCGCCGCATACCACCCCGCAGCGCCTGCTCCGCTTCCCCAATCTCTCCTCTGGCATCGCCACCGGCAAAAGCGACCTTGAGCGGAGGGCCACTACCCCAATTTCGATCTCGAGTAGAGACGCCCCTCCTGGTGGAATCCACGTGGTGGTCGGCAAGGATAGCGGCGGCGGCAACTACTCTCTCACGCCGCGCTCTAGCTGCATCCTCTCTCAGCGACGTCGTCAACCCCCTTGATCCCTTGTCACCATTCGCGCCTCGGAGATGATGATGATATGTTCCACATCAACCAGTTAAAGGCTACCCCTCTCCTCTTTCTCCGATTTAGAAATCTGAATCCTTCTCTCAAATTCAACGTTCCCCTATTCTTTGCTCCAGGATCTCTTTGTGGGAAGTCTCCCCTCCTTCCCACTTAGTCAAATATGGGACTGGTTACAGAGTCCGAATCCAAGTCCAGTGTCTGCAAAGATCCAGCGACCACGAGGGCACGCAGTTACTCATCTGTGGCACATCTTCTTGTTTTGGATTCGGTCAAAAAAGGGTAGCCTATTTTCATCCCTAGCAATTTCATGTGCATTTGTTGTAAAAAGTCTGTTGTAAAGTGGAACACTTGATTCTTGGGATATTTCTTCTATGAGGATTTAAAGTACCAGCTGTATACCACATTTCCCTTCTGCTGTTAGTTCTGTCATTTTTAAAGATGTCCAATCAGCAGGTGCAATAGAATTTACTTGCAATAATGATTATATGATGATATTACCTTTTCCCCATAATTCGCTATTTACATGGATGGATAAAAAATCTACATGAGGTCTATAGTGTTTGCTTGTCTGACTTTGTAAAGCCATGTCATTGTCAAAAAAAGAGTTAGTTAGATCCTTGTTTGATAACTCTTGCTTTCTAGACTGAATCTATCTACATTGATAATACCACACCAGACATGGCACGAATGGCACAAGAATCCTCCCACTCTGATTTCAAGCACTACGACAGTAAGTCATCTCTCTACCAGTTTTGTTACCTTTGCCTTTGAAGGATATAGAAGCTTTCCTTCTTCTCGATAGAAGTTTGTTTTTTGTAACTGTCCAGGTATTTTCCCTCTCTTTAACAATGATCTAATCCCATGTC